TTCCAGTTTAAAAAATTAAAAAGAGCAACGAATTAAAAACATAGAAAGTAGGGGCGCCTGGGTGGCTCAATAAGTTAAGTATCTGCCTTCAGCTCAGGTCATGATCCTGGGGTCCTGGGATGGAGCCCCATGTGTTGGGCACCTTGCTCAGCAGGGAGTCTGCCTTTCCCTCTCCCTCTGCCCCTCCCCCCACTCATGCTCTTGCTTGCTCTCTCTGTCTCTCTCAAATGAATAAATAAAAAATCCTTTTAAAAAACCACAGAAAGTAGAATGAAGGAAATAGTAAAAATATATAAAAAGCACACATACACTAAAGAAAAATCAACAAAACCAAAAGTTGATCTTTGGAAAAGATTTTAAAAATCCATAGTCCGCTAGCAAAACTGATCAAGAAAGCGAAAACACAAATTATCAACATCAAGAATGAAAAGGGGGCATCACTATAGATCCTAAGGCTACTTAGAAGATTGCATGAGCTTATTAGGTACATCTTTGTGCCAGTGAGTTTCACAGCATATATGAAATGGACAATCTTCTTTTAAGCCATAACTTACCAAAAGTGGTACAAAAGGAAGTAAAAGGTTTGAATAGTCCACTATCTATTCCAGAAATTGAATCTGTAATTTAAAATCTCCACACAAAGAAAAGAGCAATAGGAATCTATTTAAAGAGATTTAGGTAGAAAACTGACAAGATCAGATTCTATTTTGAAAAGACCACTTTGCGGGCGCCTGGGTGGCTCAGTTGGTTAAGCGACTGCCTTCGGCTCAGGTCATGATCCTGGAGTCCCGGGATCGAGTCCCGCATCGGGCTCCCTGCTTGGCAGGGAGTCTGCTTCTCCCTCTGACCCTCCTCCCTCTCATGCTCTCTGTCTCTCATTCTCTCTCTCAAAATAAATAAATAAAATCTTTAAAAAAAAAAAGAAAAGACCACTTTGCAAAGTGGAGAAAAGATTGAAAGTGATAAAAGTAGATGTGGAAAGAGTAGTTAAAAGACAATTGCCAGTGGTTGTCAGGCACTAGGGAGAGGGAGGTATGAGTAAGTGGAGCACAGAGGATTTTTAGGGCATTGAAACTATTCTGCATGTTACTATTATGATACACGTCATTATACATTTCTAAAAACCCATAGAACATACAAAACCAAGAGTGAACCCTAAAGTAAACTACGGACTTTGGGTGATAATGATGTATCAATGTATGTTAATCAGTTATGACAAATGTACCACTCTGGTTCAGGATGTTGATAGTGGGGGAGGCCATGCATGTAGTTTGGGCAGTGGGCATATGGGAACTCTGTACTTCCTATTCAATTTTGTTGTGAACCTAAAATGGCTTTTAAAAAATTACTTTAAAAAAAGACAATTGCAATAGTTCCGGTGGAAGTTGGCGGCTTGGAGCAGAATGGTAATAGTAAAAATAGAAGAAAAGAAGAACATTGAAGATTGAAGGAGCATGGAGAATCTTTGAAGTATGAGTTGTAGAAAGTGAACTAACCAATAAAGTATAATGGACTTAAAGGACAGTGGTAAAGGGCATTTTAAGAAGAGAAACATGAATTTATAGTGAAAACAATATACCTTGTTGCATGACTTTCTGCTACAATACTTGGCTGTTTGAGTGCAGGTGCAGAGAAAGTCAAGAGTTAGGATCATCCAGAATTTGGATTTTGTAGATGTGTTTGACCAGAAAGTCAGAAATAAGAATGTGTTCAAATGATGGATTATGGAATCTAAGATGGATACAAAACAAGGGTTTATGGGTTGGAAGAAAGCAGAAGTCAGTAGACAGGAAGACCTGCTGTAAAATACAGGCACGAGTGAAAGAAAAGGAGGATACAGTCAAAGAGTATGATGTCTGAATCTATGATTTTGGAGGTAAAGCATTTTCAGTAGCAATTATAGATGATGACAAAGCCGAAGGTATAATGATAGCAGTGGATGGCCAAAGTGGAATGGAAGAAAAGATGAGTACAGATTATATGGCAAAGAACTAAGTAGCCAAGGTGTTAGAATATGCCAATCGGCTGCAGATGATGGTGAAGAACATGAGCCTGGGAGATACTGCCTGATTTTCCTACACACATTTTTGCAGAAATTCAGGCCCTAAAGGGATGTTGAAAGTCATCAGTCCTTTGGCCTTCTGACTCCAGCTGTTTGCCTTTCAAGAACATCCATCTCATTGTGCAGGGCTCTTTTCTATAGCTGGCTCACCAAGATCTGCTTTCCAGTCTGGCTCCTGATAGCCAGTCCCAACATTTTAAGATCATGAAGGCACATAAGAGGTCAAGGCAGTGTTGGATGCATGCACAGTGATGGCACAGTCAATTCTGTCTCCTGCTTCATAAAAGCACTAGAAAGGAATTGGGGCCTTTCACATGGTAAATTCTGGAAAACTCTGTCCTTCTCCCTAGAGTTGAGTTGCTATCTGCACCTGACATGGCCACACGAGTCAGTAAGGGGACACGTAAAAAGATGTCATGAGAATAATGGGAGCCAGTTTTCTCACTATTAAAGAACTGAGTCACAACATGGAAAGGGTTAGAAAAGACAAAATGAACTCTGTGGCATTCAATTATAATTGGAAGTATTAATATGAATTCATGGTTTTAGATAGATGATAGATAGATTTGAATAAAATTAAAATCCATACATGCACGCTGATATAAATACATGAATAAATAAATAAATGGTAGAAAAGGTAAGGCTCTTTCTTAACACTACAATACCAACCGATAAACACAGAAAGAACCCTGGAGTTAGAAAATCAATGGGTACCTTTGAAACCAATATAAGACATTATATGTTAATTAATTGAATTAAAAATTTTTTTTTAAAGATTTTATTATTTATTTGAGACAGAGAGAATGAGAGAGAGAGCACATGAGAGGGGGGAGGGTCAGAGGGAGAAGCAGGCTCCCTGCCGAGCAGGGAGCCCGATGCGGGACTCGATCCCGGGACTCCAGGATCATGACCTGAGCCGAAGGCAGTCGCTTAACCAACTGAGCCACCCAGGCGCCCCAATTGAATTAAAATTTTAAAAATATTTAAAAAAAGAAAATCAATGGGTATTAAAATTAGTGAGCAAAAGTTTGATGAAAAGCAAGATATTTACACAGACTTAAAGTATCTGTTTACAGATTATGTGCTAATTACAATGGGAAGAAGATAGTAACTCTATACTGGAGAAATTTAGTAGATTTTGAGACCATCTAAACCAAGTAATCAAAATTAACATCACAGCTGGGACAATTGATATTGTGTGCATCCTGATATAAAGCACTGAAAAGGATAACACATCACTTCTGTAGTATTCTGCTTAAAGATGCATAACCTAAATCTAACCATGAGGAACATGGGATAAATCCAAATTGAGGGACCATCTACCAAATCACTGACCTGAATTCTTCAAAAAATATTCAGGTAAAGAAAAAACAAAGAAAGTCTGAGAAACTGTTCCGGATGAAAGGCACTAAGGAGACATGACAACTAACCATAATATGTGATCCTGGATTGGAAATTGGCCTGGGGAAAATTAGCTATCATGTATTTTTGACCATTGACAAAATTAAAATATGGACAATAGTTTCATATTATTGTATCAATGTTTAATTTTCTAACTTTGATAATTATACCATAGTTATATACAAGAATGCATTTTTTAGGAAATACACACTGATGTATTTAGAGATAAAAGGGCAGAATGTCTACACCTTACTCTCAAATGGTTCAGAAAAAATAATATACAAAAGCTTATAAACAGAGAATGAAAAGTAATTAGGCAAAATGTGAACAATTGCTTAATCTGGGTAGGGTATGCAAGAATTCCTTGAATTTTTCTTGCAGCATTTCTGTAAGTTTGAGGTCATATCAAAATCAAAAATTACCCAAAAATCATGGACACATTCTACCTTGGGTCAGTACCCATCTTCTTATTTCCATACTTCTAGTTAATCAGCTCCCCTAAGTTTGAGCCTGTTTGGCTCCCAACTTTGAAGTTAGCTCTCTGTTTAGCATTCTGGATCATCAAACCAGTGTGGATTGCCTATTCTAGCTCTGACATTGGTCCCCCTTCTGGATTCATCTCTCATTATTTTACCATCAGCTCCAAGCATCAAAACCACACGTAAGAGAAATACCAAATCATAACATCTCATCTGATCCCCGGGGATACATCCTGTCCACGGTGAGCCACATATCTCCCATTTCCTCCTTTCCTTTATTTTCTCACTTGTACAGGGCTCAGGATGTAGCAGGTGTCTGATTCATACCTGTTGGATTGATTTGAACTTGCCTGCTTCATAGATGTGAAGAAATCTTTTATTACTTTCCTAAAATTCCCACTCTCATGAGTCTGAAGGAACCAGAGACAGTCTCTGTGAAACATTTATGGACTCAAAGCTCAAGGAGGAGCCAAGATTTTAAATGGTTTGGGAGGAATCATCCTCATCCCTGCCTTATTTACACACTGCTCCCTTAAACAAACCATCCAAGGACTCTTTAAACATAATTGGTGGGACTGGGGAAATCACCATTTTTCTTATGCAAGTAGTAATTACAAGATGACTTTTCTAGGCCTGGCAACTGGAGATTTTGAATGATTATGGGATATATACTTAATAATAATCATAATAGCTACCATTTTATAAAGAAGCTATGTGTCAGAAAATGTGAAAGATGCTTTATGTGTATTATCTCTTTTCATCCTCATGCCAACCCTGGGAAGTACTTCCTTTACAAATAAGGAAAGTAAGGCTCAGGGGGGTTAGGTGACTTACCCAAGTTAAAATAGCTCTTAAGTGGGTAGAGCTGGAAATTGAATCCTTCATGTCTCTTTGATTTCAGAGCCCATACTTCTGCCATAGCATCATATCAAGCCAGTAACAACCCTGCAGTTTCTCCACACTGACTTGTTAAGGGGTCTTCCTAACAGCTGATGTTAGTTACTTTGGAGAAAGGATTAATTTTAGTGGGAATGTACATAAACCAGGGTTTCTCATACCATTTCAAACATATAACTTGCACTCGATTTGATGGACTTAATGTCTCCAAAACCTCCAGAGGGGAACTTTTTCAGCCACACCCAATCACCCTAGAAAGAAAAGGCAGAGAGGAATGATCAGACTTAGTTGCCAACAGCTTTAGAGCAATGTCCCTTCCACACGAAGGGTTTATAATCAGACCGTCAACTCAAACAGGTTTTGTTCTTCCTCCATCACCCTCCACCACATGGACATTGTGTATTTGAGCTAAAAATGAGGTCATGCAGGGACGCCAGGGTGGCTCAGTTGGCTAAGCATCAGACTCTTAATTTCACCTCAGGTCATGATCTTAGGGAAGTGGGATCAAGCCCAGCATCAGGCTCCATGCTCAGCGGAGAGTCTGCTTGAGATTCTCTCTCTCTTTCTCCCTCTGACCCTCCCCCACTCACTCTCTCTCTCTGTCCCAATAGATAGATAGATAGATAGATAGATAGATAGATAGATAGATAGATAGACAGATAGATAGATAAATCAAATCTTTAAATATGAGGTCATGCAGAGAAGTGAAAGGTAAAAATTCCAATTAACTAAAGACAGGAAACCATTGCAGGTATGCAGGCCCCAGAAAGGGAATGATACCACTCTGCAATGACTCCCTTCACTAACTGCAGAAAGTGCTAGGTCATTTCACTTATTCATAGCTAAGTGATATAGCACCAGGTCCCCTGCGATTAATGATGATGGTTGGTGGTTGCAATTCTTACTGCCTTGAGGCATCCATGGTGGGAGATGTAAGGCCGGAGATGTAATGCAGCAAATGTTTTCTGCATTTACCTTGCTCCATTTTTCTCTTGTGGGACAGGCCATTTTGGGGGCCTCTTATGCTTCAATCATAAACCAATTGGCTTCAATGTAGATTAAACATTTCTTATTTGGATGCACAAATGTACTACCGTAGTAATACAAGTAATCTGGACTCTTTCAGAAGTCTATTTCTGACTTTTTAAGTCCAAAGCAGCTATTTCTAAGGCTGCTGTCAAGTCAAAAACAACAATTATTTTATTGTCTTCACTTTAACACCAGCCCCTGATAGATAATTTTCTTCTCCTTGCATAGCCCAAGGATTCATCAGTCATCAAGCCCTATTTAGCTTCTGTCCGACCCAAATTTTTTAAAAAAGCAATACAAATATAGATTCCTTTTTCTCCCTGATAATAATAATGCCTTGCATTTGCACAGTGCTCTTTACCCTTCAAAGTGCTTTCATATCTATTACCTATAGCCTGGAGATTCCATTTCAGCCTGCACCAATTTGTCATCAGGTAGAGATAATAAAGCAGAGAGCTCTGTGCAGTCAAATTCCAAGAATAAGAGAGTGTAACCACTCTCTTATTAAGGAATATATCCAGCTGTGGCACTGCATCTGGAGACCCGCCAGAGGCAAAGGCTAATAACGGGAGCTGCGGACATCTGAGTTACACGCCCGCACCTTGGGTTAGAGGGTATCTTCGAGCCAAGGAGCTTGAAACCCGTTAACTAGGGAATGGCTCTCAGAGGCCTTCAGCAGCTGAACAGAACTGGGCCAGCCAGGTTCAGTGCCCACAGAGCCCACCAAGGCTAAGTCCAGGATCTGCGCCTGCCTGTAGCAGAACGGTCAAGCACGAAAGGCAGCCTTCCTGGTCTCTTGCTCAAAAACTCCCTGAGCGTGGCCCCAGACCAGCTGCATCATGGTCACCCGGAAACTGGTTAGAAAGGCTGAGTCTCACGCTCCAACCCACACTTAATTCCTTAATCACCGAAGTCATGAGGGCCAGACATGAGCTCAAAGTTTTAGCCTTCAGAGGACTTTGCCCTTTAGTGGGATCAAAGCCAAGGTTTAAGCTGAAAGGAAAAAAAAAAATTCTACCTGGGAATTCACAAAAGCAACAAATGTGTGGGAGATAGCAGTAGGCAATAAAGCCTCTCCAAGCACCTTTGCAACCATATTACTTGGCCATGGTCACTATGAGCTGTAATGGCACCTTCGTGCTAATTAGAAAGGGTGCTTTCCCTCGAGGAAAAATAAATAAATAGACAGACAGACATGTGAGAATATTATTTTACAGCCTGTGGCAGCCCTGCCCTGTTGGGCAGCAGCCCTGGCTGTATACATACGTGCGTGTACCACACTCTCATTTACTCATACATCCTCCAGACACCAGGGAACACATTCCACTCACAGCATGGCTGGTCTGCATACCACCGAGCCCTGCCTGCCAGGTGGAGCCCCTTTGTCAGGTTTGGAGTCAGGCTATAGAGGTGGAGGAGAGAAGCTGAATTTGGACCCCCAAGAATATTGGGCAGGAGAAAGGAGTAACTTCAAAAAAACTCCTGGGGAATAGTCAAGGGAGCGTATAATCAGGTGTGCATATGTTTACCAGTGACTATGTATGTGCATAGTCGAGTGTGCTAGTATAAATGTAGATATGAGAAGTAGCCCCCTCCCCTCCCCCCGATCTCATTCCCAAACTAGGCTGGGAGGTCAGAACCTCTTTGCCCACTCCTGCACCTCTAAGTTAGTACATGTCTATAATGTGAATAGCACCATCTTAAATATGGTGCCCTTGTGCAGTGCACAACCTGAACATCAGGACTGGCAGCCCTGACTCTGCCTCTAGCCAGTACCTGACACTTTCTTCCTGGAGTCAGCCTTATTACAGACAGGGGTTAGCCTTCTCTCTGGCTTATTAACTTTTAGAGGTAATTAAGCCAAGCTTTTTTTTTCCCAGCCAAATCACCAAATTTGAGAGCTGGAAAGGGTCTTGGGTATCCCTGTTCTAATCCCTTCATATTTTGATAAAGAAACTGAAGTCTGAAGAGATGAAGTGACTTGTACAAGGTCAGAAGGCTAGGTAGTAACAGAACCGAGGTCTTCCACTTTCCACTTTATTGCTCCTTTCTCTCATGGCTTTCTTTGGTTTGGGGGATTTGTGTGTATTTATTTTAAGATTTAAATAATTCTCACAAACTTTATAAGCAAATTTTTATTGAGTCTGTGTGTGTCCTACTTCATGAATAATGAGGAAGAGGAATAATGAGGAAGGGCAGGTTTTATCTTCACCACACATACATTATTTGTTTTGTTTTTTCTTTTAAGAGAGTGAATGATAAAACACTTCATTCATCATTCACTTTTTAATTAAGAGGAAGAAACATCAAACTCTATCCACTAAAGTTTTTAGAAGTAATTTAAAGTCCATCAGTTTTGCACTAAGGCCATGGAGCCTTAACTAAGAGTCAAGAGAACTAGGTCCCGGACCGGGCTGCGCCTCAAATTCAGGGGTGGCCTTCGAGCAACCACTTTGTTGGCCCGAGCCCGAGTTTTCTAATGGACAGAGCTGGACAATTCTGTGATGAGCGAGGTGGTTGGTGGGAAGGATAGGGGGATGGAGACAGAGTTATATGAGATATAGAAGAAGGTGGGAACATAGAAGAAAAAGGGCTCTGGGAAAAGAATATGAATGGGGAGGGTATGCGGTGAGTGGGGAGAGAGAATGGAGATAAGAAGGAAAACATAGGGAGAGGTTGAGAGGCAGAAGGAGTCAGAGATGAAGAGGGAGGGTAAATTCAGTGGGTTCTCGCTGAGCATATCAGTGTTGTGTTACTGCCCACCTCACCCCTCTCCCCTAGACTGTGGCTATTAGAGCAGATGGTGACATGTTCCCACGGCATCTGCTATTCCCAGTTCTCTCTCCCCAGCAGTCTGCTCATCTGACTTTCCTCTCTTCTCTCAAAGAGCATCTATGAAATAAGGGCCAATTTTCTGGTCCAGGTCCTAAGGTGATGCATCTCTGCATGGAATCGAAGTGGGAATCTGTATCAGTTTCAGACCATGTGATGGCACATCCTAGGGAAGCCTGTCCTTTGCTATTAGCTGTCTGCTACTCCAGGCACATTAGCTGGAACTTGCAGATCTTCCAGTAACAATTCTTATGAAAATCTGATTTATTTTAAACAGAAACTAGATAACGAATCTTCTTTAAAATGCTCCCAACAGAGGACCGTTTCAGAAGGCACACTGAACCTCTTTGTTTGATCTGTTGATTCAATTAACTTAGGCTCCTTCCCAGGCAGTTTTCCAGCTTCGGCTGTCTTCCCTCGCACCCCGCCATCAGCCTAATCTTGACTTCATGGTGTGGTATTATTCCCACTAACACCCTCCTTTTGTGCAGATAAAGGCCCCCTTTGGCCTATACAGTTCAGAAATACTCATGAGCTGACTGACCAACAGTCATTATGGGAACTAACTCAACTCTCTGCCTCCTCCCAAGATGAGGAAATATCTGACAGATTCTTAAAGGCCAGTTACATACAGATGTTTATTTTTTCCCTTCTCAATTCTACACTATAACCTTCTGTCTCCACCAAATAAAACATACTACAACTCAACACATAAATTCTTCCCCAGAATCAGAGAGCCATGGCATATCTGAGCCAGAAGAGGCCTTTGAGATCTCTTAGTCCAGCCATCCCCAGTCCTGGATGCGCACATAGGGAAACTTGAAAAAAAGTCCAATGCCTGAACTCACCCCATACCAACCGAAGCAGAGTTACTAGCAGGGGAGGCTAGGCACAGGTATGTTTTTCACTTTCCCATGGAGATTCCAATGAGTAGCCAAGATTAAGAACTTAGTTCAACCCCTCATTTTACAGATGAAAAACCAAGAGACTGCCTTATGTTACTGAGATTTATTTCAGAATCTTCGAGGTGTCAGTACATTCATAGAGCCATCAGCCCACTGCATTTGACATTCAAAAGCTATATGATTGTCTTGGTTTTGCTCTTTGAGAGAACAGAGCTGTCAATTCCCCAATACCGCAAGTTTACATTTGAAGCAAATCTCCTCTTTGATTAAATGAGCTTCAAGGCAAGATCTAGAGGTTTCCTGCTACAAATTTAAGTCAGAGTACTCAGGTACACTGAGCAAATATATACCATGCCAATCTTCGTGTTTTAGGCGTCTGTCAATTATTTGGCCAATGGAGAGCACTCACTTGGAAAATTCAATATGTTGGACAATCTAAAAACTCATTCTGTCCTGTTTTGGACTTTCTTTGTAGTTACTATTGAAGTTGAGAGTGTTTGCTGCTTTTGGGAGTATCTTCAAACAAAACAAGGAAACCACACTGGGAAGGCATCACTTGGGAGGGACTAGTTTCCCTCTTACCCCCTGCTTAACTCTTTCCTGCTGAGAAGAAACAGTTCATCTCTCCAACTGTTGCAAGATTTGTTCTGGTTGCCAAATTCCAGTATCTTAGAACAAGGGGTCAGGGGTGGCCTCTTTAAAGCTTGTAAGACAGAAATTTAAATGAAATTTTTAAAAAAGGAGATTTCTATTTTACACAGCAGAAGGTCACCTGTTACTCCAAAAGGCAGCAGCAGCCCAGGCTGAGAAAAAAAGAAAGAATCTTTAAAAGATTTTAGTAATATCAGAGGATAACGGGGATAGAAGAACAACTAAAATTTGAAGGGAGGGATTTGCCCCAAACTCTACACAAACATGTTTCTAGACATTCCATCACAAACAGGTGACTCGGGAAGTCATTTCTTCTATTATTATACCCATATCTTCTAGAACGAGTGACATGGTTAAGTGTATGGATCTGCTGACTTTTTTTCACATGCACAATAAATAGATGGATTTGAAACATCAATGAAATTATAAGTAAGTAGATTAGTTGCTGAGGAAAATCATTGTCCAAAAGGTCATCCAAACAAGTCCATGAGTGGATAACGAACAAAAAACTGGAAAGACTTTCCAAAAGCCTCAATGTTTTCACCCAAAGACTAAGTCTTAAATCACTGTCTCATTTTAAAACTCAAGAGGGCAGCAGATTAGATAGCTGTTGGATATCCTACCTCATAAATTGCTATGTTGGAGTTTTCATAGGAAGCTGGAGTTAGACTCCCTGACGAAAAGGAGAGCCTTGGGGATCTCCCACTTTGGACTTCTGAGGTGATCTGGAAGCTTACACTGGCACGACTTCCTCTCTGTGAAAAGATTAGGAAAAAAGGTTACAAACAAAACTCTCATGATTTAGGACAAAGCACTGAACTGTGGTATAGATACTGTGCTTATCTGGCTTTTCATTTTCTTTTTTTTTTTTTTTTTTTCCCTCGGAGAGTAACTATATGAGCTGAACTTTGTAAACATGAGATTAATTTACCTATCCCCCAGCACAACTTTTTTTAGGCTAGGGTTGCTATCATGCTTCACCTCCATATAACACAAAAGAAAGGTAAATATTCGCAGGTACCTCTATCTCTTAGAAAGGATTAGAATCAGAGTTTTGGGGGACACCTGAGTGGCTCAGTCAGTGAAGCATTTGCCTTCAGCTCAGGTCATGATCTCAGGGTCCTGGGATCGAGCCCAATGCTTCTCCCTCTCCCTCTGCCCCTCCCCCCTGCTTGTGCTCGCGGGCACGCTCTCTCCCTCTCAAATGAATAAATAAAAAATCTTTTAAAAAAATAAAAGAATCAGAGATTGGGGTGCCTGGGTGGCTCAGTCGGTTAGTTGGCTGCCTTCGGCTCAGGTAGTGATCCCAGGGTCCTGGGATCGAGTCCCGCATCAGACTCTCTGCTTGGCGGGGAGTCCCTTCTCCCTCTCCCCCTGCCTGCAGCTCTGCCTGCTTGTGTGCTCTCTCTCTCTCTAATAAATAAATAAATAAATAAATAAATAAATAAATAAATAAATTCTTAATAAAAAAGAATCAGAGATTTGGTGGGGGGGGGCAAGAAATAACACCAGTCATAATTTAATCTGGGACCCTCACTCTATAGACAAAAATAAGAACATAAGCATCTAACATTTTGAAAAAATCAATAGCAGAACTAGCACATAATCCCACCCTTCTGGCTCTCAGGCCTGGCTCCTTTTGTTATACCATCTTGAATGGCAGTCTTCTTTGTGCAGGCAAGATTAATGGCAGAAGGTATCCCACAAAGCAATAAGACAGTAGAGAGTGAGTAGATCGTCTGCCCATGATTTATGAGTCTGATGCTTAAATAGGCCAAGTTCCTTATTCCTTGATTTGTTAACTTGTACACATAAATCTGGTAAGAGAGGACCAGGAAGTGTACCATTGAATGACAAGAGGAAGAGCTATCTGCAATCTGTGGTAACCTTTAAAATCGACCAGCTTTATCTTCAACTAAACCAGTAGACTTATTTCATGTGAGGAAATCATAAAAACAGGTTCCTCATATTCTTCTCCATGTCTCCAAATGTGCCTTTCTTGGAATTACAGTAATTCAGAGCCAGCAATTACATTTGGTATTGTCTAGGCTAGCCCCCGCCCCCCAACTCTAACACCCCCATTTTACAACTAGGAAATAGAGACTTAGTGAGGGATATAGGGACTGGAAGAGGAATGTGGATGTTATATCCCGGTCTTGTGTTTTTTCGAACACACCATGCTCTGTTTCACTCTTGCTTGCCAATAAAAATGAATCTTAAGTACTTTGACATACTCTGCTCTTAATGGTCTTTGATAAACTGAAGATCACTAGTTGATTTGGCCCTCGAATTAAGTTCATTCTACCAAGACAAGACTATAACGAAATTCCAAGGCACTAGTAAACTATACCCAACTCCTAATGTGTTGAAATCCCAACAGCTCACGATTCAGACAAGATGTAAAACTTGACTCTTCACATAACCCTTGCATAAACCTGAACTCTCCTCAACAGAGCGAGGCCAAGGAGGAATCTACTTCTCTTTCATTCTTTATTTTCATATCTCAGCAGGAGCACCTAGATCTGTATATTGAGACATAGACCTCTCCATGAAGGGGCACAGGAGAAAGCAAGAGAATCTGCCAAAATCCACATAGATTTGGGCTTCAGCTTTACTTTCTTCTAAAAACTTCCTTTCCTGACCTGACTTCTACTGACCTGCCAATTTTTCTAGACTGAATTAATTTTATATTCACCAAGAGTTTACACTTTCAGACATTCCATTTGGATGGAATTCTTGGCTTGGCTTCTTGACTGATTAGACACAGCCAGCTGCAAGTTTGTGACTACACAGCAATTAAGGAAAATGTATGCTTCCCCTACCTTTTCCCATCAGAAACTCTGATAAAAGCCAAATGCCAAAAGGGACCTGGAGGCCAAGAGCTATGTTCTAGAATAATGCCATCCTTTTTGCACCAGGGCGAAAACAGTAAAAAATAAAAGAAACACTCCCTATAAGGCTATCAATCCCTGTTGCTCTTCATTTTTCTCACTCATGCAATGAAAAGTGATTATTGGGTTGTTGTTTTGTTTACTCTCATCATGTCAAAATGTATGCACAAGTGAAAGAAAAGATCTATCATCATGAACAAGATTTTAAAAACTTAGACACTTTGTTCATCTGAAGGTAGCACTATTCTATTATTTATGGTGATTTTCTGAGACTACAAATGAAACCCAAACATGTTTTGTGTCTCAGTAGGAAAGAGAGAAGGCACAGGTGGAGATTTTACACACTTTACTGGACTATTGCAAGGCCTATACAAAGAGAGGGTTAATTCAGCCCGAAAAGTATCTGTTTGTTGTTTTGACACTCGAGAGCCAAAACATCCGGGCAATCGACATGAACTGTCATTTTGACATGGATACCACCACAGAAGTAAGATTTTTAAAAACAGGTTTAGTGCTCATAACCAAAACTTTAGTAAACATTGCTAGGTTTGAACAACGATTTCTAATCATCTGCTTTTACTACTGATTACCCATTTCTGGATAAAATATCTTGTCATAGAATTAAATACTTGTTTTCTCAGTATCGGGTTATCTATTGAGATTGCTTCAGAGCTTGCACTTCAGTATCTACCCTTTCTGATTAAGGTGGGAAATTTCATACAAGGCATATGGGATTATAGCAAATCCAGACAAAATCTACCACCCCGAGTGAGTCCCAGGGTCCTCTGGTGGCTTCAGAAATAGAGACTAACATCAATACGTTTTTATGGCATGAGGGTGGAATGTAGCTTTCAGCCACAGTGATAATTTTGGCATTCAGCAGTACATTTCCAGGAACATGATATCAACCTTACAAAAAATATGTGATGATTTAAACAAATAAGAGTTAGAGTTGTAATTGAGAATTAAACTAAACAGCTGAACATTTCATCTGATTCCAACTGCACAGAGTATTGCCATGTAAACCCATAGTCACCCAACCAACTAGTTCAAGTATACCGTTCAGTGCCACATTTAGGCAAATGATCAATTTGGTCACAGAGATCATTAATTCTCAGATCTGGTACACTGGTTTAGCACAAGTAAGTAGCTCATGGGGGACAAATAAGATGTGTTTGCATTCTCTCCTTACATCCTGCTACCACTATACTAGAATTTGCAAAAATGAATGTCTTTATTTTGGCCACATAGACTGGACACAAAGAGGCATCCTCTCCTATTACTACTACAGTTGACAAAACTCTTCCCCACACTTTCTTTTTTCCAAGCTTGTGTTTACGCTGTTTTCTCTGCCTACACAGGTCAGGAAGGTAAATATAAATTGGTGACATAGGCTGAGTATAAGACAGTAGAGAGTGATGGGAACTGGGTCAAACTGCAGAGAACATGCTTCTTCCAAAAACAGCAACTACTACTGATTCCCAACCAATTGCCACGATGATACCCAAGGCTGACGGATCTTCCAACCTTTAAAAAACACCCAGAGGGACATCTGGGTGGCTCAGTCGGTTAAGCGTCTGCCTTCGGCTCAGATCATGATCCTGGGGTCCTGGGATCAAGCCCCACGTCAGGCTTTCTGCTCAGTGGGAAGCCTGCTTCTCCCTCTCCTTCTGCCTGCTGCTCCCCCCTGCTTGTGCTCTCTCTCTCTGTCAAATAAATAAATAAAATCTTTTTAAAAAATAAAAAACACCCAGAAATCCAGATTTTTATGTGTAATCTCCCAATTTCAAAATTCTGGGTACTATTTTTTTATAACTATAAGGGTCAAACAAAAGTGCTTACCAGTTCAGGACCTGTGACATAGACAAATCCTATCCATCCTTGTTTAAGACCCAGCTTTAGTGCTGGGTTGCTAAAAAAAACCTTCTTCCACTGATATGTTTCCTCTGACGTTTACCATATTTCTAGTGTCTTTTGTGCAATATGGCAGCTATCAGCTCTCTTGTGTGGTATAATTTGCCTCTCTAATTTAACTATAATCTCTTTGAAGGCAGGGACTCCATGCTATCGCTCACAAAGTCCAGCCCAGGGCCAGTATAGGCATTCAGTGAAGAGCACCAGTTTTAATACAATCACCATCAGAACAGAACCCCAGGGGACATTCAACTGATTTTCACTAGTTGATTCATTCACCAAACTTTTACGAGCACCTATTATACCATCAGCAGGAGGTCAGTTGCTATGGGCTAACATTAAGAGAAAATGTACCTCTGCCCTTGAGGAACAAGCAATCAAATGTGGAGTTCAGATAGACTAGAGAAGGGTTATATGAAGTCAAAGCTACATTATTGCTCAAAGTGCACTGCATCGCTTTCACAAAACTGTTCTAAGACAGCACTATCCACTAGAACTGTAACCTGAGCCACATATGTATTATAAGCTTCCTAGTAGTCACATTAAAAAACATAAAAAGCAGGTGAGATCATCAGTGGCTAACTGAACATAATAAAAATTAAAATTTTTTTAATTATATGCTTTATTTAACCAACTACATCCAAAGTATTATCATTTTGACATGTAGTTGATGTTTTTTTAATTTAATGAGATATTTTACATGTTTTTGTACTAAATCTTCTAAATCCAGAGTGTATTTTACTCTTACAGCACATCTCATTTCAGACTCACCACATGTTTTTAAAGATTGATTGATTGATTGATGTGAGTGAGAGAGAGACAGAGACTGAGAAAGCGTGAGTGGGGGGAGGGGCAGAGGGAGAGAGAGAACCTCAAGTGGACTCCACGCTGAGTGCGGAGCCCAACACAGGGCTTGATCTCACCACCCTGATCATGACCTGAGCCGACATCAAGTGTTGGAGGCTTAACCGACTGAGCCATCCAGGCGCCCCCAGACTCACCACATGTTAAGTGCTCAGTAGTCATTTGTGCTTTGTGGATACCATATTAGACAGTGCAGCAAGACAGGGGGATGCTCCTTACCTTACTGCCAAAGTGGGGATTGATGAACGTCACATCCTCCAAAGTAAGTAGAATTCTGTTGGGTCCTTTAATCAACTGGATTTTATTTATACGATGCCTGAAACAAGTGTAAAATCAGAGGGTCACAGGCGGCTGGGTATTTTGCAAACCCAGAATAAATTTGCCCCATGATAGAAGTTTTAAAATATACCAGATAATGGGAAGACTAACCGCACATAGGTCTTTACCTTAGCACCCACAGCAAAGAGAAATAGCAACCCTGGTTCTCACGACTTGCAGAGTTACAAAGACCAAAAGAGAAAAATGAAGATGCTATTGAAGAGGCATCAAAAGGGAAGAATGAGGATGCTGCATGGGGACAGTAAGCCAGACTAATAAAATGGTGATCCCACATCAAGAGCACATTCAAAACAGCACCTCGTAATACTCGTAAAGAACTCAACACCCTTTCTCATACGCCACAGTATATATTCTAATAATACCCAGGCCAAGAAGCATTAATCTCTGTTTTATAGACACAAAAACACATTAAAGAAACAAAACAAAATTAAGCAAATTGTGAGATCCCCTGGGCCAAGGCAGAGCTGGGACTCCAATCCTTGGTCCCTGGCTGTGGGCCCAGATTTCTGCCCACAAGACCACTTGTCTTGCGAAGTAGCGTCTATGCGTTGCCCAAGCGACAGGTTGAAAAGTGGAAAAATTCAATCAGTTGGTTGCTTTGTCTACATGATTCCAAACAAGTGGGCTGACCGGGTTTGTTTTTTTTTTTTTTTTTTTTCTTTTACTGAATTGGTCTCTTGTCTGAGCATTACACAGACACAGTTTAAACCTGATTCTCTTCAAACATGCCCATTAATTTGCAGCAAATATAATGATTTCCTACAAATCAGTTACTAGACACATAGAAGTTTTTGATGTCTACCCACACAGCCAGGTAGGTCATCTCAGTTGAGCCAACCTGACAACTTGAAGACCTGAAGGATACCTTGGATTTAGTCTGCGTGGTTGTTTTGTTTTGTTTTGTCTTGGGGGCGCTGACGGCTACAGTTTGGCTTCGCTTTTTCCACAACCCCTTAATGATCACCCTGTGGAATGTATTAAAGCCCAGTGCCAGAGCTGGGAAAACAACCACTGAATCAAAATGCTTTGTCAAGTTGCTGTAAGGAAGTCTTCGATGTCACTGTAGCTTTAAGCACCAGCAACACAGTCTGCTTGTCTCAGTGATTCCACTGGTTTGTAAACAAACAATTAATGTGTTTCTAATTGTCTGCCAACAAATATGTCCCTTATCACTGTGGGAGCTGCTGCCCTGCAGGGAAAATTAAAAGAGCCCTGTAGTGAATTCTTGGGTAGAGCACATGAATCTTTTGGCAAAGTAAAGCATTACTCCCTAACTTATCCGTTTCATATGTGTAGTGAATTGTCTTAAAGTAGGCACACCTGTGAAAATAACCACGCTACACACTCTAGTAGAAAGAGAATCAGACTCCCAATGCAGAGACCTGGGGTGTAGTGCAAATTCTGTCATTAATTAGCCAGATGACCTTAGATAAAAATTTAACCTCTTCACGCCCCCCATGGCCTCATCTGTCTAGCAGGATAATGGTTCCTGCGTTACCCGCTTTATAGAGTTGTTTTGGAAATCAAATGAGATAATATATGTGAAAGTGCTCTGAAAAGCATGAAGCACCATGAAATTATAAGAGCTCATTATTATCATTATCATCATTAGTTTTACAAAGCACTGGAGAGCTTTATAGGAAGGCGAGGCAATCTGGTTCAGAGTCCGGAGAAAGGAGGAGTTCAAAGAATCCTTTGTTTTGGGGTGGTTGGGTTCTTTGCACATCTTTCTTTCTGGAAAAAAAAAAAAACTTAAACAATCAAAACACAGAGAAAAGGAAGGAACAGAGAGTCACTCTCCTGCAAGTAATCACCATCTATTACAGAAACTCATCAGACGCTCAGTTCTTCTGATTGCAGCCGTGGTGGGCAGAGAGAGGGAGGCAGGCAGCAAAGAGAGGGCATCTTTTGTGCTTTGTTAGCTGAAGAACCAAGGACCAAGTGACTCTGGGAAATGATGTGCCTCTCTCCCATCTCTGAGTTTTCAGTACCACTTGGAGTACCAATTGTCTCAAACTCATTTTCCTCTCCAATCATGTCCCTCTCCAGCCTTCTTGGCCCTTCAGCCCACAAACTCCAAACAACCCCCTCGTGATTTTACAGACTTTTTATCCTTGCCTTCCCAAGAATTGCAGATTGAGCTCACTCTAAGCTGAAAGAACCAGTCCGTTCCATGGGAAAGACCAGTGAGGCCAGTCATAGGGGGTGAGGTGGGAGGTTGACAAGTAACCTAAGCAGCTGAGTGACTCCATTTTCAACCTGGCCATGGGATGTTTTGGCATCAGGCAGCCAGAGACTATTACTCTTCAAATCTCCCTAGAGAGGGGAGCTTTCTGGTTGGATAACATTTATTTTCACTGAGCATCTAACGATGTTAACTCAATACTTTGGCCTTTGACAACAGCTAAACTCAATACATTAAATTTCTGTTCTGAGCAGGAGTATGTCACAGTCGCAGAAATTAAAAAAAAAAAAACCTCCTTTGAACTAATGTCTTTGTCAAGTGTGTTTTAGCAATTCACAAGCTACCCACCACTCTGTATGGCTTTATCAAGTTTCTAATATGAGGAGATTGAATAGTAGTGGTTTCTCACAGTGATGCCAACATACTAAACACTAAGAGTACCACCTGTTAGAGTTTCAAGCCAGGATTTCACGGACTTGTTAGAACATCAGAGCTGGAAGGGCTCTTAAAGATCACTTAATCCAATCCCTTCATTTTACAAATGAGAAAATTCTGGCAGAGAGAGGTTTAGTGTCTTGTCCAGATTTACACAGCTGCTTAATACACTCTGGACATTTTTTCTCAGAACTTGCCAAAGGAGCTCCATTCTATTCCCCACCAAGTTTGTATCATATTTTTGTCAGGACCACTCTTACAAAGAGATAACAAAGGTGTGGTTAGCAGGATGGAAAAGGTAAAGTGGGAGGGTCGTGGTTGATTTCATTTTTTACTTTCCCCAAATCATCTTAATATGGGGAGGGTTCAACCGTTAAAATGCAAAGATTATGAGAAAAGAGCATCATATTAAGCCATCTTCAGCCATTTATCCCCGATCCTGAACTCATTCATCAGAGTAGTTGGTCACCTCTCATGGGATCTCAGGGAGAGGGACAAAGACGTAATGATAATGATGATATTGGTGATTAGCTAGGATAGCTTTTGTTCAAGGAAGCAGGACAATGTGGCTCTGGAGTATAATACCCATGGCAAAAAGTATGAGCGTCAAAGTGAGGATTCTGGGCTCCCAACAATCAGCAGGAGAATCCCATGTACCTGGGAAGGAGGTGAGACCTTACTACTTGTTGAGCACCTACTCTGAGTCGGTATTATTATTCTAGGTGTTTTACTTACTTTAGTTTATTTAATAATCCCTGCTACAGTCCTGTGAACTAGTACCATTATTCCCAACTCCTAGATTCTCACGAAAGTCTGACTAATTCTTGGACCTGGTTAAAATATCCCAATTCTATTTTCTACTAGTCCATACCATTTGGGGAAAGAGATGGGTAGTGGAGACTCTGCCAGTGGAAAAGGGAGCATAGATAGGGAGTACACAGGCCCTAAACTACTAGTTCTCTTATTTCACAATAATGTGGCAAGCCAAATCTACTCACAGGCAACCACACTGATAACACAGCTGAGGAAGTTATTCTTGGCATCATGAAAACACTTCACTCTAAATGGGGCCAGTAGGGACAGTAAACTGCTATGGAAAACAGAAAATCAGTGGGTCACGTAATGAGGAAATTGTACTGAAACATGACTTCCTGGAAATAAATATTCACAAGGCTATTACGGGCTTGTATTTTAATATCCAAAAAGAACAAAAAATGTACCTTATAAAGTAAGCAAATCCATTAATAGACAGCAGGGCTATAAGCAAAGCAAGGCAGACCATCACAGCAAAGGCAGGGTCAATGCCTGTAGAAAGCGAGAGGAAGAATGGCATTGTCAGAGAGAGGCTGTAAATAAAGGGCACCACGGAGTGGCTCCTCATGCTTTCTGGTGAGACTAAAATCAAGCCACATCTACCTAACTTAATTCCATTTTTCTACAGCACAGTATGTCTTGTTGACTTTATGGACACAGAAAGCAATTTCGCCATTCTGAGGCAAAACCACTCACCATTCTGACAATAACAAATCACATGAATTAAGGCTGACCCGGGTGTCGCTTTGGAGGAAAAAGTCCACGAATAGAAAACTTTGAGTACCTTAATTTAAGTTGGATGGCAATAGAGTTCTTGAGAATAAATATGTTATCTCACCTGTGAAGGGTAAGTATTATGTCACCTTCATAAAATAAAAGACCTTTAAATTCACTGGAGCCCATAGACCTTGTGAGTTATAGATGAGTAACATAGCACTTGTCTTTCAAGGGTGAGTCTGGTTTTGATAATTAGGGTTTCAGTGAGATGTAAATTAGCCTCTAGAAAACCTAAACATTTGGATGGATTACTAAGATTTCAGAAGGAAATATATGATGACGCTAACATCAAGGTAGTTGGGTATGTCACACTCAAGCAAACTAGAAATTGAAGTCCATTTCAAATAGATGCATGTGGTTTTAGAAGGGTGTGGTGTACACTCACATAGGAATAATATGGATCCTCCCAAAGTTCCCCTCTGGCTCTCAGAGATATAATGGAGTTTCCACTCTTCCTCAAGCTAGAGGAGTTCCATCAGTCAGTCAAACTGCAAGTATATTTTGGATGCCGACTGTGTTGGTTGGGGGGTGGCGCATAAGAACTATTAGCTATGGTCCCTGCCCTCAAGGAGCAGTATGTTTGGGAGGGGGAGACACAAGAAACAACTGAAAAGCAATTTTGTGCTAAGCTGTGAGGTACAGACTTTTAGTTCAATGGGAGTTCAGAGAAGAGAAGGTATAGAAATGGTATCTCTGTGGGTGGACCTGACTGACAGGATTTGGATACAGCAAGGGAAGGACAGGTGATCTTTCTAGCAGGGGAAATGATCACAGGTCATAGTCGACAACAGACCAAGGAGAAGACTCATGGCTTCCTCTTCTTAGAGTAAACCTCCTTGGGAGTGGGATCATTTTGAAAATGAGTGGGGTTGGCTTTTAAATTGTAGATGATTATCCAAGGCTGCAAAGTACCTCTCATTGTCCTCATTATTTTAATCTAACTACCTGGAATGCCAAGATGTTTATCTCCCCTGAATGCAAGTGACTGATTCTATGAGTGTTCCAATGTTAAAATACGCCTTCCCTTAAAGAGGTTCCCTTATAACCCACACTGAGCCAAATTGACTACCAGTGATTTTTCCATTCCTTACCTCCTCGACAGATCTTCCCTTCTGCAAACCAGCATTTTGCATCTGCTCGAGGGGGCCTGCCACCAGGGAAGTGAATGGGGGTCCCTCGGAATCGCAGCAGCTCCATTTCCATGTCCACAGTGTAAGTACTATAGAGTTCCCATTCTTTCCAGTTGGTGTCCAGGATTACATATTCTGCGATTCCATTTCCATTTGAATCTGTCCTTATCAACTGGTTGAATCCATAGAACTGCATGTTTCTGGAATGCTGAACCAGGCTGGCAGCACTAGCCCGTCCATTTTCTTTCATAGCATTATTCATGGCTTGTGCGATAAAGTAAATTGAATTGTAGATGGTTCCAAACAACGGTGAAACCTATTTTTAAAAATTACAATTAGCTTGAGCCCTGGTCACCCTAGAGCAATCTCAGAGTGTATTCCAAGCCTGTGTTCATTAGTATGGGCTGCACGTCTGAGTGGAGGAGAGCTATGAAGACCCAGAGGAAATAAACAATTGTTTCTGAAGACTTGCTTGGTTTCTCCCCTGAATTTTTCTGTTTTTCTCCCCCAGGCCTTCACATCTTTAAATATATCAAATATGACAATTTTATGAGCAAACCAGTCATACACAATATATTTTTATGCTCCTAGACTAAGAAAGTGATTTAGAGTTATAAAGGGCACTAAAAAAACAAGTATGGAACAGACAAGAGGCATCCCAAAGAAATTTACCAGGTTAATGACCAGTACATTATGCATGAAAAAATCATTTTGCTGGCACTACTAGAATAGCAGGTGAGTGTGGTGAGGCTGTAAATAATGTGTCTCCACAGTCCCTGTCTGTGTCCTGTCTTAGTCCAAAATGGCTCTTCTCCTAGACACGTGCTCCCCACATATACACATGCAAACATACATACTGACACATAACACCCCCCAAAGACAGAGCCAAATGTTGTAATGTATGGAGAATGTGGGTTTTAACCAAGAAACCCTATATCCTGTTGGTGTCCAAAGTGGCAAAGCTTTGGTGAGAAACCACTGTAAAGCAGTAAGGCTTCTATGGTGGACAGCATAACTCTGCCTGCTATATAAATATAGTAAAAGCAACAGCATTTGGTGTACTATGCCTGATGCACTGCTTATTAACCTAGTAAATTTGGTTTGGGAACAAACTTGTATCTATTCCAAAAAGGTAGGGAGGAAGAGGGAACGATCCCTCCCTAGCCCCCCCACCGCCCATGGGCCATGGCTTCAGGGTTTTCCATAACATTTCACCTCTAGGATGGAGTGCAAGAAAGCTATGGTCATGCCATTTTACGGAGCTTCAGAGAAAGCTGATACTTGCTACTTTGGTTTCACCAGGTCTAGAAAGCTATCCTCCTCCTTCATCTGAATAAAAGGGTTTAAAATTGAGTGAATCATTTTCGTGTTGGAAAGACAAGTCAAGATGCAGAGAGGTTTGGTAGCAGCTAGCAAGACACTGCCATGCCCTGTCTACAGAACAGTGGGTTGTCAATTACCCAAGGAGTGTCAAAAATACCAAGGCCAAACCCAATGCAGACCAACAAAATGAGATACTTTAGGTTTGGGACCTAGTAATCAGTATTCCTAAAAGCACCCCAGGTATTCTAATACACATACGGGGTTTAAAACAGTACAGAAGAAGAAGACACACTGGCCTGTGGTCTCTCCCTAAAGCCAGAATGTTAGGCAAGTCACTTAATCCCCTCTCCCTGGGCTTCAGTTTCTTCCTCTCTAAAATGTCTAGAACCATAAATGTCTAAACTTGGAGATCATCTGGCCTGGCTCTCTGTCTCTTTAGACAGGAAAGGGAGGAGCAAAGTAGTTCAGCGATTTGTCAAGGTCACTTACCTGGGCATAAAATCCAGACTAGAAGCCAGGTTTTCTGTTCCTAGTTTAGCATTTTTGCTTGAAATAGGCATTACCTGTGGTCTTGTTTAAGCGTGAACTCCTATGAAATTTCCCAACACTTGGTCTAGTACAGGGACCAAATTTAGCTTGCAGACATTTCCGTTTGGACTGTATATGGGGTTTTTTTCCCCTTCATCTCTCTAACCTTTTAACATGAGAGCGTTAAACAGCTCAGTCCTTGGTCCTCTTCTCCAGCAACACTTAACTCCGTTGGGGATCTCTCCTGGTCTCATGGCTTTAAATACCACATCTATGCCATAAAGCTCAGATTTATACTTTCAGCTCAGACCTGTTTCCTAAATTCCAGACTCATAAGTCAACTGCCTACTCGGATATCTCTACATGGATGTTAGATTTCAATGTACCCAAAATCGAGCTCCTGATTTTCACCTCAAATCTTCCTGCTTCATCTATAATGAGTCTTCCCCATTTTTGTTAAGAGCAACTCCATTCTTCCAACGGTTCAGGCCAAAAACCCTGCCCCAGATAACAAAGCTAACTAAGATCAGGGCAGAAATCAACACTTCAGTTCCTTGAGTATTTATCCAATGATCTCTCTCCACTGCCCCGCCTTAACACATGTGCAGGCGAGAGCCTGCCTGTTTTCTGGGGCTTTGGTAGGTTATGACAATAAGTTAAGGCTGGAAGGTGGAGTATAAAATCAATACTAGTAAAACAAATGAGTTAAAAAAAAAAAAAAAACAACCACAGGGCAGCAAGCCCCTGAAAGCAGAGAAAATGCTAGTATTCTGTTTTGAAAGGCACAGAGCCTTCTGGGAAAGAGATTGTATCTACCTACAGCCAAGAGCAAAGATTGAAACTATTAAAAAACAACACCCTCACCTCTGAGTTGACCCATCTCACAGGGTTTTCAGCTGGCCAGGCTATGCTGCCCTTTATGTTCTTGGAGTGACCCCCGTTAGAGCTGACTGACAGCAACTCTCCAAGACGACTGAAACCCTGAAACCTGAAGCCTGTTTTTCAGGATTCTCCAGCCTCCACCACATAGCACACGCACACACACACACACACACACACACTACACGTGTGCATGTGCACAAATGCATGCACGCGCGCACACACACACACACACACACACAGAGCCACAAAAATATGGTAGAGGGACCTGAAGCTAAAGGAAAGAGCATAGCTGTATCAGGGTTGTAAAAGAACTGTCACAACGGCCCACGCTCACTGTGAGGGCTTGGATTTGTGTTCCAGCTGGTTTGTGTTGCTGTTTCACCCACTGGGCCCTTCCGTGCCCTTCAGCAGTAGAAATTGCCCCTTTCCATAAGTCAAAGGCACACTCTGTGAGTATTGGCCATAAAAGGCCTCCAGCTGCAGCTGCTGCAAATAATGAGAGAGAGAAGAGGTAGAAGGTGGGGTGAGGGAAGAAAGGGCCCTCTCCATAACCTCTGTCCCGGCTTCTGACTACAGCTCCAGAGAAGCATGATGGGATTGGCGGGAGTTTCTGTCAGGCGGATGACCTTGTTGACATCACAGCCCAGAATGGTGAACCGACTCATGACTCCATCTATTAGTTTTGCCTGCGGCCTAGACCTGAACCTGATTGAATGAATTATGAATAAATGAATGACAATTGATCGTTCGTTATTCGGCAAATGTAGCTAGCTCTACCTTAGGCTTCTTGGAGCTTGGTATCCAAGAAAACAAGGTCTGGGTCAGGAGCAGTGATTTTCGAATTTGTTAAATTTAATGGTTCATGCTGTTGTTAAGTTGACTGTCATCAGTTGAGATTTACTGTGCTTGCAAGACACAAACCTGGCTTCCAAAGCATTTTGTCCTTAGAAGCATACATTGAAACATACCTGGGTCAGAAAGCATCATTTGAAGGACAAAATGGCAACATCACTTTTGAACAAAAAGCCAGGCACATGCAGAGATCACGAAACCAGATGGTAATCAAGTTCCTGCTATTCAAGGTGGTACCTCCAATAATGCGTGGTCTCAGCACTTGGACTTAGCCAAGAGATGGCGAAAACCCAAACTATTTGATATGATCCTCATGAACACAATACCTTTATTTTTTATAGAATGATCACTCTATTTTTTTTTTTATAGAAGATGTACAAAGCCAACTATAGCCACCGTAAACTGCAGGCAACCTTTCCTGACAAGTTTCTGGTGGCCCCATCCTGGAATGCTTCAGCCCTAACCACATCCCCTGCAGCCCGCTAGCCCCCTGCCAGGCACCTATATTTAAGGTAATAGAAAGCAATGGGTGCCAGGAGCTTTAGGTCCCCCCCCCCCCCCCGCCCCGGGCTTGCTGAGAAATCCAGAGGATTTCCTTTGCTTAGGCAAAAAAGGCCACATTTGGAAGAATTATCCCAAATGTGTGTTCCAGCAATATGCATTTGTAGCCAATAGCATTTTCCTGAAAACAAGCATTGGGAAGACAGCAAAAGTAAAAGATGCGGGCACTAAACCCTTATTTCAGAAGTCAAAATTTAAAGGTACAAAGTGATAATCCTTGCTCAATCATCCTGAGACTAAATTAGGAATTTTTTCACTGGCTTCCCACCCCCCAATCTCTCCATTCTGATTTATTGTTCTCTCTTTTTTTTAAAGATTTTATTTACCTATTTGAGACAAACAGAGAGAGAGGGAGTGAGAGAGAGAGAGAGAGAGTATGAGCAGGGGAGAGAGGCAGAGGGAGAGGGAGAAGTAGACTCCCCGCCGAGCAGGGAGCCCAATGCAGGGCTCGATCCCAGGACCCCAGGATCATGACCTGAGCCAAAGGCAGACACCCAACCGACTGAGCCACCGAGGTGCCCCTGATTTATTGTTCTCATTTCATGGGTCCTCATAAAGCCCTAGCACCTCCTAGGTTAGAGGAAAACAATCTGAAAAACGCATTCAAATCAAAGTGTTAGTTACTTAGTAATATTACTTTGGATAAAGCACTGGACATGGACACGGTGTAATTTTTTTTAAGGCTCATGTGTGGTTAAATGGTCAGGTTCTGGTAGCGGATTAGTGTTGGAATCCCAGCTCTGCCACTTGCCAGCAGCTGTATGACCTTGGAAAAGTTACCATGAGCCTCAGTTTCATCATCCATAAAGTAGAGATAATGATACCTAATTTGTAGGCTTGATCTACAGATCTGATGAGACCATTTATGTTAATTACCTGGCACAGAGTAAGCACTGAATACATGAGAGCTGCTATTATTTGCACTTCAGAAGAGGAGCACAGAATTCTAGTAATATCATCCTGGAAAGCATAGTGGTCAAGTACCTTATCCCAGTCTTGAATTTGTGACCAAAAAATAAAAATCTCAATTTTATTTTATTTTAAGATTTCTTATTTGTAAGTAATCTCTACACCCAGCATGGGGCCCGAACTCATAACCCGGAGATCAAGAATTGCACACTCCACCAACTGAGGCAGCCAGGTGCCCCTAAAAGTCCTAATTTTAGACCT